CAGCCCCTCTCCAACCTCACCCTTGAACTAACGTGGAAAACACGAATAGATCGACAGCGCCCAACTCTACAACAACGAAGCCGAATGCGCCCTCGCCATCAGCCGCTCCAACATCCCGCGCTCGCAAATCTTCTACACAACCAAGATCCCCACCACGCACATGTCCTACGAGAAAGCCAAAGAAGCGATCGAGTCTAGTCTAGCAGCTGCCAAGGGATTGGGGTATATCGATTTGTACGTCTATTCCCCACCCCCTTTATACAAACCTACATCTAGATACTAATAAACAACGGGGATAATGTAGAATGCTCCTCCACGCCCCCTACGGCGGGCGCAGCGGCCGACTCGGCGCATGGCGCGCCCTCGTCGAAGCGCAAGCAGCAGGGAAGATTCGCTCGCTGGGAGTATCGAACTACGGGATCCGGCATCTAGAGGAGCTGGAGGAGTATATTCGGGGCGGAGGGGGCGGGGAGATCTCCGTCGGGCAGTATGAGATTCATCCGTGGTGTGCGCGGGAGGATATTGTGGGTTGGTTGAGGGAGAGGGGAGTGGTGGTTGAGGCGTATGCGCCGCTTGTGCAGGCGAAGAGGATGCAGGAACCGGTGTTGAGGAGGTTGGCGAGTAAGTACGGGAAGAGTGAGGCGCAGGTTTTGGTGAGGTGGAGTTTGCAGAAGGTGAGGTCTCTTTCTTTCTTCCTTTGTGTATGGGTGTTAAAGATGCTAATCGCGGGGGTGTGTGTATAGGGATACGTGCCGCTGCCTAAATCGGTGACCGAGTCGAGAATCGTGGAGAACTCGCAGGTGTTTGATTTCGAGTTGTCCGCGGAGGATATGGAGGAGTTGCAGACGACGGAGTATGCGCCTGTTAGTTGGGATCCGGCGAGGGATTCGAAGTTGTAGATGAACACTCTAGACAAGGTGGAGTTAGTCGCTGAATGGAAGTTAGTATGAATAGAGCGAGACAATAGTGCATGGAAACAAAGCAGACAACAATATGAGCAAGATAGATCAATACGGGGTAAACAAGCGGTGATCCAATCTCGGCACAACATATCCCCGTCGCGGCCTCCTTCCGCATTCCACCCCAACTACGGAGCACATACAAACTATAATCAACAACATCAATCGATAATACCCACGACACACCGATGGCCTCTCCACAATAACCTCCCCACCTCCCTCTACGACAAGACATGCCTCCTCACCCTCAAATGTCTTCTCCTCACTCCCCGACCATCCCCCAAAATGCCCTCCTCCCCCAGCAAGCGCATCATCCTCGAAAAGTCCCGCACCGTGCGCCGCCGGTACCAGCGCAGCAACAAACGCTTCCAATTCACGGCATCACAGATCGCGCGCATTGAGCGCGAACAGGAGCGCGAGAAACGCGCCCAGCAGCTGCGCGACAAGGAGAAGAAACGAGTCGCGAATAAGAAGAAGAAAGCGGAGAAAGAGGCGCGCGATAGAGAGGAACGCAGGAGATTGGGGCGCATGGGATTGCCGGATCCGAATGCGCCGGTGCCGCCGTCGAGTCAACCTTTGTTGTTTAATTTCATTAAGAGGAAGGATGGGGAGGAGGGGGAGAGCATTAATGGTGGTGGGGATACAGAGGTAGATGAGGGTGGGGATACGGAGGTGGATGAGGATCTTTTGGAGGATTTGGAGGCCGTTGTTGATGCTGCTGAAGCTGAGGCTGATGGTTTGGATTTGGATTCGGGTTTGGATACTGGAGATGAGGGGGAGGGTGAGGGCGGGGATCATGGGGATGAGACTACGGTTTGCGAGCAGGGGGAAAATGAGGGTGAACAGCAGGTCCGGGCTAAAGAGGAGGATGAGTTCTCTGATTGTTCTATCTTTTATGATGAGGATATCATCAAAGAGGCCGGTGATGCTACTACGCCCGATCAAGCTGCGTTGCACGATAAGCCGGAGAACCAACCCCACCCCTCAACTGCCGACTCATTCCAAGACGACACGGCACTCCTTCTCGAAGAATACGGGCATGAATTCGAAATAGATGAAGAATTCGAGCAAGCACTGGTTGCGCTGGATGCCGTGTGATCCGAACGAATACTTTATAGTATATGGCAGATAAACAAAGCGCTTCCGACCCGAAGGCGATCCGCCTGTCGGATAGCGACGCCCCTCGTCGGCTCGGGCGGTGATAAGCGGGCGGCTTGCCTCCCCGCCACGAAGCCGTCGATCCGACGGATTCAACACGGTGAGAGAAAGGGTGAATATGGGTAAGCTGTATTGGCATGCAGCGGATGCACTGAGAGGAAAGATGAATATCGGAAAGGAAAAGTCATGGTGGAAAGCGAAGCCAAAAAGTTGAGGCCACAGCTCCTCCCCGCACATGACGTCGGCCAGAAGAGCTAGATGCATATCCGATCGATCGAACATCTCCGGCAATCATCTCCCCTCTCAACATTCCCCCCTCTCACCTTTCACAATCCATTGGAAATCCAAACCAGAAGAGACACCATGCCGACCGTCGCCGTCAACAACCACCAAATCTATTACGCCGATACCCACCCGGACGGTGCTCCGGCCACCGGCCAAACCATCATCTTCATCCACGGCCTGGGCTCATCGCAGAACTACTACTTCCCGGTCCTCCCATACCTAAGTAACCACCGCTGCATCACCCTCGATACCTACGGCTCAGCCCGATCCACATACACCGGAGACGCCATCAGCATCGCCTCCATCGCTTCTGATGTCGTGGGGGTCCTCGACGCACTACAAGTCCCCAAAGCAGTGGCCGTCGGCCACTCCATGGGCGGCCTCGTAGTAACCCTGCTAGGCGCACAATACAGCGACCGCATATCAGGCGTCGTCGCCATCGGACCTACCCACCCGTCCGAGAAGCTCGCAGAGGTGATGACGCAGCGCAGCGAGACAGTCTCAAAGGGTGAGAGCAGGACCAACCAACCAACTAGCAAGCAAGCAAACTAGTCATCAAACTAATATCTCTCCCAGCCGGCATGGAACCAATGGCAAACACCATCCCCAACGGAGCAACTGGCTCCCGCAGCTCTGCACTCGTCAAGTCGTTCATTCGTGAATTGATCATCGGACAGAACCCCAAGGGTTACGCGGCGCTGTGTCTGGCGATCGCTAATGCGCCGGTGATTGAGTACTCGAAGGTCACGGCGCCATATTTGCTGATTGCGGGCGAGGAGGATAAGTCTGCGTCGATGGAGGGGTGCGAGCATATTCATGCGGGGGTGTCGAGTGCGCAGAAGAAGTTGGAGGTGTTGAGGGGGGTGGGACATTGGCATTGTGTGGAGGCGCCGGAGGAGGTGGGAGGGCTTATTGGGGGGTTTGTGCAGACTTTGTAGTCAATTGGATGAGATGTTAGCATGTGAATTCTATACATAGAGTATGAATTGGTATTCTTAGATATCCGATGAAGCTACACTACGAAACATGACCAAATCACTCTACATAGTACTAAACCATCGAAAGAATACATCAACTTCCAGATATAATAGACAATCGCTGATACCATACAATTTACCACATATCATAACAAGCAATAGATAAACGAATAATATATACTATGAAAGTAAAATAGATCAGTTCGCCGGTGCCCGCACCAACTTAACATCATAGTTCAACTCAAGACCAGCTTGAGGATCATCCTTGCGAGGCACGAAATCCACAATCAACGAATCCTTAACAGCAAACACCGAGTCATTAGTGAGGTATTTATCCTTGGAATCGAAAATTTGCGTCGTGAGGGGCTTGTAGCCGTCGTATGTAGCCTGCCATCCCCATTCCTGTTAGCACCATACCCACCAGCTAACCAACCAGGTAAAAACTGGGGGAAAAGATATACATACGATGATATGAATATGCGCGGGCCTAAACGGATGTCTATCCATCAACTCGAGCAGCTTTCCAGCGGGACCTATCCCAACAGTCACATTAGCCACCACCATAAACAATGATAATGATTGAGATCTCACCATCATCCGGCACCGGATACGGCGTCGGCCTCAAACAATAAAAGCTATACCTCCCCTGCTCATCTGTCTTGAACTTCCCACGGAGATTAAACTCCTCTTGCTGGGGATCCTGCTGCTCATACAACCCATTCGTACTAGCCTGCCAGACCTCCACCGTGGCGCCGACGAGCGGCTTCTTGGTCTCAAAGTCCACGACTTGGCCGTGCATGAATGCCATTTCGCCTTCGCCATTGGGCGGCGGGGTCAGTACAATGTTCGCCCCGTTCTCGCGGTAGGGTGTGTCGGCGCGGAAGAATGGGCCTAGGATGGCGGTTGCGGTGGGGGCGTCGGGGGCTTCGGAGGCGAGGGTGTAGGTGATTTCGTCTACTAGGCTGTTTTTTTCATAGATTACTTATTAGTATAGGTTTGTGGGGAGGGGGTTTGGTAAAGGGTATCATACGACTCCAGTCCGATAACATCACAAACAAGCTGTCCCTCATTCCGCTTATCGTCACTCATTTGACCAGCCCAGTTGAGGAGCTTCACGCCGGCCATCCATTCATCGACGGTGAGTTCGTTTTCGCGTGCGTAGTCGTGGACGTGGCGGATTAGACCGGTCATTAGTTGGCGGAAGCGCGGTGTCGTTTTTGGACCCATGCTGTTGATGACGTTGTCGGTGAAGTTGGGGTCGAAGCGCGGCATTTTGGATACCTTTTTCTTTTATTTTGTTCTTTGAGGGGTATGTGTAGTGTATATGAGGGGTGTATGGGTATAAGAGAGGGGAGAGAGTTGAGGGGAATTAGCTGGGTTAAACTAAGATGAATGGTGGTGTTTGGTGGTTTATATAGTAGTAACTAGTTAAGTACTAAGTACTACTTACTTAGTAGGGTGATTGTTAAATGGATCCCCCGGATTCGCTGTCGCTGGTCGGAAAGCCCTCTTTGGCTCTGATCGGATGGACTTTTCCGATGGTTTTCCCCGCACGCTTCGGATGTATGTCAATGTTTGGTTCAGATGATTCCCCACGCCGGATTGATCAATTGCCTGATGGTTGCATACGATTTATCCACCATTATATGCACATACTAACTACGTATGAAATTAAGAATGATGATTTCCCGTCGGACCCCCCTTCTTCTTCTTCCCTCCCTTCTGCGCCCATTCCGACGGCCACTCCTGCACCACCTGTCCGCGTTCCCAAATCTTGCCCATCTTGCGCTCCACCACCACGTCCACAAACTCCAACGGCACTACCTTTTCTCCCCCATCCCCATCCCCATCCCCATCCCCATCCTTATTCACACTAACTCCCTCGCTAAGAACCACCCCATTCTCACTCCTCCAAAACGGACATCCCGCACTCAAGGCCTTCTCCAAATCCACATAAATCAACACCTGCGCATCCCTCCTCATCCCTGAAATAACCTGTCCCGGCGCGGCCACCGCATTCCCCGCCAACACATCCTCCACTGCTGGTCCCGTCGCAAAATGCACCTGGTTGCGGCCCATGCAGCGGAGTCCGCCGGAGGAGAAGATGGCTGGCCATGCGGAGTGGAATGTGCCGTGGACGACGGTGCGCGGGAGTTTATCTTTGTCCGAGAGGGAGAGTTTCTCGAGCAGGTGCGCTGCTTCGACGGTCTTGATGCTGTGGCCTTGTGTGGCGCGGATGAGGTAGTGGGAGGGATTGGGGTCGGTGGTGGTTGCGGCGAGGGCGGTGGTTGTGGTGGTTGTGTCGGTGGATTCTTGTGATTCAGGGTTGGTTTCTGTGCTGGGGTCTGTAGATGTAGATGTAGGAATTGGTTCTGTAGCGGTTGGTGTAGGTTGGGTTGTGGAGGGTGTGTAAAGCAGCGCGAATCGCTTCTTATCGGAGTTTGCGACGGCGTCGACGATCTCCGGGAAGGTCACTTTGAGGGATTTGAGTTTGCGCCATGCTAGCTGTATACCAGATTTGATGTTAGTTGGGAAGTTATTCTTGGAGTATGGCTCTGCTGTGGAAGACGCACCACATCAGATACATTGGCGTAGCCTTGCGCATCTATCGGGAGGCCTTCTTTTTCGGCGGCGTGGCGGAGAAGCAGGCTCAGTGCTTTCGATACCGTGACGGCGCGGCTGGCGGGAGGACGACCTTTAGGCATGATTACTTTCTGAGAGAGCGAATCAAGCGTAACTGGGAAATTGGAAATGAGAATGAAGTGGGATGGAGTGTCAACGAGATGTGCGGAGGGAAGATGGAGGGGCTCGGCGGAACTTTTCCACCTCCGCGGGCCCACTTATGCTCACTGATATCTACTATCTCATTCACGATCTTATTCACTCTATCACATGAATGATGTACAGTTAACAATAGTACAGTTAATGATGATTCAATATACTATTAATTCTTCCCGCCCATCTATCTCTAATTATACCCCAGGCATCAACATAAACTATCAAACACCGCGAAATGGGTATATCACAAAACGCATCCCTCTGAATCAAACAAGTTCATAACCTGATCCCGTCCTTATACTCATCCCAAGTAGGATCACCGATCACAAATACAACTACACTCCGCCACCGGACACACTTTATGTCGCGCAAACCATTCCCGCGCATGATGCGCATGAAACCCGTGGTTGCAATTAATGCAGAACACAATAAACCTCCGCATCAGTTCCGTCTCAGACGGCCGTCGTCCCGCCGCATCTGCCGCCAAACAAGCCTTGGACATCGGGTCCGGCGCTCCCAGCCATAGCGTGCATACTCCGCACCGCGGCATATGGCGCCCGCAGCGTGGACACACTGTGCCGGACATGGCGGCGCTGCCGAGGGGATTGCCGGGCGTTGGGTGTGTGACTTCGCCCGTCACCGAGGGGGTCAGTTGTGAGGAAGCGTCGTGCTGCGTGAGCGGTCGTGTGCAGTAGTTGCAGGTGAGACTGACTTGTTGGCGGGGCGGGTCGACCAGTTTGCGCCCGTCCCAGGTGACGGCGAACTTGCGGGAGCCGACGTCGAAGCGTGCGCGCTCGAGTTGCAGTTTCCATGCGTTGATCTGCTGGCGGTAGGTCTCGCGCCAGGATTCGAAGCGTGCGCGGTCGGGTGAGTTGTTGATGAAGCGGGGGACAGTGTGGCTCATTGCTAGTACGGCCGTTTGGATGTCGTGGAATTTGTTGATGTAGGATTGGAAGAGGTCCATGGCGGAATGGTTGAGTCCAGTTAGGAGGATGCCTTCGATGTCGCCTTGCTGGATGGCAGTGGTGGTGGTTTCGTGGAGATAGCTTGTCAGATCGTCGTCCGGGAGCCAGCGCAGCGCTACCTCGATCCGGTATCTGAGCGGAAGAGTGGTCTCCTGAATGGCAGAACGCCAGTCGCCCTTGCTCACGAGCGCGAGAATCGCTCGCGCGTAGGGGTCGGTGAGCTCCTTGGCAATCTCAGCGCAAGTGTCTTCCCAGTCTGAGTCGGTGTCGCCTTTCGCGGCTCCCGCAATGGCCATGGCGAGGAGTTTATGAGCTTGGGTGGGCTCGTGGCTCCGCAAAGCCAGGTACGCGAGTTTCGCTTCGTCTTGGAACATGGCCAGCGCAGCGGCCTTGGTGTGTTGCTTGTCAGCGGACAATGTCTTGACCAACTCTTCAAGCTCCCGGTGCGATTGCGCTGCGCCGCAAAGTCTCAGGCACAGCCGGCGATGTTCGGGGTATTCGGTCTCGCAGCCTTTCGTCTCGGGGAGGTTGAGCTGATCTTGAACCAGCTCCACGATGGTTTCGTGAATGTCGGATGCCGGGTTGCCACCGACTCGTCGGTTATGGAGACTCTCTCCTGTTGGAGTTAGCCATGCACGTACTCCAGGAAACCAGGCTACCTACCTAAATCGTTGTTCCAGACATCGTAAACGCCTAGGTAGTTCAGATCCAGCCCGTTGATAATCATAGATTCATTGCTAGAGTCGGAGCGCGCACCTACTGCAATTAGTACATCCCGTAATACTCGGTTCCGCACTTACGTTCAGCCCAATCCCAGAAGCTCTGCAGCCATGGGTCATCAGCGAGAATCTTCTTGTTCCGTGCCTCGTCAAACAAATAGCCTTCTTTGCAGCGAAACCGGTTCACCGATAACAGAGTTAGAGCATCCTTTACAGGCAGTTGACCGCCCAAGGTCCCCAACGACAAGGCATGTTCCCTCGCCTCACGGCTCGACAAAGGCGTGGCTGGCCGATTGCCGGCCCGGCGTCCCTTCTGCGAAGACTGCCCATTCGAATCAGACACTGCTCGTTCGCGGACTTCCTCCACCATCTCCGAAATGCTCAACCCGTGACTGGACTGAGGATTGATCGCTCGGAAATCAGAATCCTCATCCGAAGTGCCCCATATCAAAGTTCCCTGCGACGAAAGCCGCACCGGTGGCGCTGGAGGCTTCGCAGTGAGAATATTCACCTCATCGTTCCCGGAAATCGTAATGGCGCTGGGCTCGTTGCCCGGACTCATATTAAGAAAATCGAATGCCACAACCCTGTCCTTCTCATCGTATCCCCGAGACGGATGGTTGTACGGCGTAACAACGTCTCTGACGTGCTTGGTGTAGATCTGCTCGGGGTAGTTCCTCGCCGAGCCCTGACCCAGAGTCTCATCCATAGACGAGCGCATCTCCTCGTCCAGATACTCCTTGACAATGTCGTAGGTTTTGAAATGCCCCGTATTGGACAGCACACCCAGACAGCCCCTCTTGGTCCTGGAGAAGCGCAAACTCCAGATAGTCGACTTTGGCGCAATGACATTCCCAAATTCCAGCGACGGGCCCAGCTGGCTCGTCTCCAGGGCATTTGCCGGCCCAACAGCGGGCGTAATGAAGCGCGACCCAATGCGCCGATCCCAGATACAGATAGTCGGATCATTAGTAGCCTGACAAGAGGCGATATAATTCTCATCAAGCCAGTCAATAGCCACATTATGCACACAGCGCGTGGGAAATTGCAGCGACGGGTTTCCAGGTCCCTCTGTTTCATCAATCAGCACCCACCACCCACCACCCACCCCACTAGGAAATCAAAGAGACAACAAAAAACTCACCTCTCAAATCATAAATCCTCACAAACTGCCCCTTCACCCCCGTAACCAACGTATCCGGCTGATCACTAAAGAACTTGACACTAGTAATAGGTTCCGAACTGGCCAACTTCCTCAACGGCTCCACAAACCCCTTGACAGCCTTACTCGCCAACCTCTGATTAACATCCCAGATGTTCAAACAGAAGTCATTGCGCACCCGGTCCAGCCCCGCAGCCAGCAACCCATGCGTACTAAACGCAACCGCATTACAGTACCGCTGATGTCGAATCGGAAACGAGTACGATTCCTGACTATCGCTCTTCATGCGCAGAATCGTCGCATCCCCGGACGACTGGCCCACCGCGACTAACGATTCATCCACCGGTGACCAATCGAATGCCCGGAACGCGGGCACTTTCGTATGCGTCGCTAGCTCTTCATGCTCCAGACGGCCTCCCCGCTCATATGAAGTTACCTTGCACAGTCGGAAGGCTTTGCCCGTCACGTCCACGGAGAGGAAGCGTTGTTCGCCTGTCGTGGAGGTGGGGGACCACCGGATGGCTTTTTCCATTTTATTTTTTCCCCCTGATATTTCCTTTTTGGGGGGGGAGGGAAACTTATGGTGTGGGTTTGTGATCTGTCCGCTTTTCTGTGTGGTTTGTTGTGTGCCCACTTCTCTCACACTCACACACTCTTACGCCGCCGTCGCCCCTGTGTTCTGGACTGGGGACTGGGGCTGGGCTAGGCTGGGCTGGGCTGGGAGGGCTTCGTCGCAGATGCGACTGGACCGGTCACCAACTGAGATGTGATTTCAGCCGCGCGAATCTGATCTGTCACTGCCCATCGGTGGGGGATTATTCCTTTTTTTTTTGGTTTCAAAATATCAATCGTACATCAGGAAGACCCGTCTAGCCCAAATAGACAACAGTCATGGGAGTAGTCCCTGCTCCTGCCTTTGCAAGGTAGTAATGATATAGCGAAGTGTAAGAGGAACAGTAGTTCAATCCATATCCTTGAAATGCGGCGCGCGTCATGGGACTATCCCCGCGCTGATTGGCCAATCTCGTCTTCCTGCAATCCGGGGCAGCTTTTTTCCCGGCCCGATAGATGATCCGACCATTATCACTTTTTCAAAATAATATTCCATTAAAAATAATTGCAGACGATTTACCATCAGCCTCCCCCTTCTTTTCCTCTCATTCAGACCGCACCCCGGAAAGAGAAAAGGACCCGAGATAACAATGCCACGAGAGTACGCCCCCGCCGACAGAAAACGCAAATCCCACGATATCTCCGACGATGCAGATGCAGCAGCAGCAACAGCGCCCGGAGGAGGTCCGCGGAAGAAAATCCACCTCCCTAAGAAAGAACACAAGTACCCGTCCGTCAACGAGCTCAAGAAACGGATTCGGGATGTGAAGCGTCTACTCAACAAGACGGATTTGCCGGCTGATGCGCGCATCGTGCAAGAGCGTGCGTTGTCGGGGTATGAGAAGGAATTGGAGGATGAGTTGAAGAGGAGGGATCGGTCGAAGATGATTAAGAAGTATCATTTTGTGAGGTTTTTGGGTATGCTTTTCCCTTCTCTTCCAGAGAATCCTCTGCTATGCTGTTATTTTATATGGGGCTGTTGCTAATTCGGAATCTGCTTGTGTAGACCGCAAAACCGCAACCAAAGACGTGAACCGGCTGGTGCGCCGCGAAAAAGAAGTCTCGAGTGCCGGTCCTGATGTCATGGATGAGAAGACCAAGGAGAAGAAACTTGCTTCGTTGGCCGGGAAGCTCCGAGTCGCTCGTGTGAACTTGAACTATACGATCTACTATCCGTTGGATGAGAAGTATATCGCCTTGTACGCGGAGCAGAAGAAGAAGGTCAAGGGAGAGGGTGCTGAGGATGGTGGCGATGGCGCTGACTCGGACGGTGATGCGCGGTTTGGAATGGTGCATGCGACGGTTGCGGATAAGCCGGCGATGTGGCATGTGGTGGAGAAGTGTATGAAGGATGGGACGTTGGACATGTTGAGGGATGGGAAGTTGGAGTCTGGGGCGAAGGCTGGAGAGAAGGATCGGAAGAAGGAGGAGAGAAGTCAAAGGGGTGGTGAGAAGGCGAAGAAGAGCCAGGAGCGTGGACTGTCCTCGTCGCAGACTGGGAAGAGTAAGGACAGGTCCAGGAAGGCGGATGATAGGA